TATAATGATCGAATATGTTTCTGAATTTAATTCACATTAAACATAATTTGTTTGCATAATCAAAACTCACCAAGATTGTTAAGCATCAAGGTGTAACACTAGTGGATTCAGAGAAGGAGCGTGGAAGGGAGGAAAGGAGAGCGATCCTCTCTGGGAAGAGAAAAAAAAATATCTTGAACAGTAACTGAACAATTGGCATATTCATTATTATGATTTTAATAGCGAAAAGTTAATTGTAATAAATCAGAGATGGCCAAAATCGAAATCCATGATTAAATGATTAAAATTAAAATTAATACTTTAATACTTTACAGTGCGTGGTACAAACCCCTTTTTTATCGAATTATTAACATCCGCCTGAAACTTCGTAAATAGTTTCATCTCATCGTAACCTACAACTGTTTTATTTACGAAAACTCTTGGAATTGGGGAGTTTTCAATCTGGAGGGAGGCAAACTTTGTTCATTTAATTAGGTACTAAAAATACCAATTTGCTTTCTGGTTGGGTCGTGAGATAATTTGATCACAAAATCGATAAAAAAGGTGGACCACAAAAATATTCGGCCGTTTGTCCTATATAACCTCATTATTTTGAAAATTTGCGGGTTTAAGTCACGCCAAACGGCACACTATTTTTGAAGAACATTTTTTTTTTCAATTTTGTGATCGAATTATCTTACGATCTTAGTAGGTAGCAAATAGATGTTTACGAGTTTTTAGTACCTAATTAAATAGACTAAGATTGCCCCCCTACAGAAACGCCCCAATTCCAAGTGTTTTCGAAAATAAAATAGTTGTAGTTACCACGAGATGAAACTATTTACGAAGTTTCAGGCGGATGTTAATAATTCGATAAAAAGGGGTCTGTACCACGGACTATTCATGACCATGCCAATTTTATACTTGATTCAAAATTGCTTGATTACCTGATAACAATCAGTAATGAGATCACTGTAATCACGTAATCAAGATCACTTTTATTGTAATCAAGTAATTGTTGATTATGATTATGGCCACGTGTGTATTAAACAATTAATTTGTATTTACATTTCGTAATCGAAAACAACGATTGATTTAAAAAAGTCTGAATATTTAGACTAAATATTCTTCATTTATTGACGAAATATTTGAAGATTGTAGCTTAAAGTAGTTTTGCTAGGAGTGCTTTGATACCTTGGAAACTATTTTCAATTTGAAAAAAAATCTGGAAAAAGTGTCGCGATTTGGGTTTATAGGCGTCAATTAGGTATCTATAAAATGAATTTTAACCGCCATTATATGAAAAAATACTAGACGAAACGAAAAAAATCTAAAATTTACATTTCTTTTATATGTACATACATCTTGGATGTGTGGAACTCACTTATTTCGCGAGTGCGCCTATATCTCACTAAATTCCTGAACCCGCAACTGTTGTGTAATACTAAAAAAAAAAGCTTGTTAAATAGATTACATAAAATATCATAGAAATGTTTGTTGAAAAATTATTCGACTTTCTCAACTGTGTGTTAGCTTCAAAGGTCATTTATTTTATTTCTCCACTTTTAACGTATATATAAAATTAAAAAAAAAAATTAATGAATTGTGATAAATATTTTTAATGAAGTTTCAATCGTTCCAAAGTTTATAGAGAACTGTTTTTAACATTTAATCTTTTTTTTTTCACCAAAATAATTTTTACATTTCTGATATTTCTGAATAATCATCTATATCATATAATAATCATTAATTTTGGAGAAAAAGATATTCCAATCCGACAAAAAAAAAAAAAAAAACCTTGAGTACTTAACATTAAAAAGATAAGTTTCTCCTACATTAATAAAAAGTCCAAAATTTTAATTTTCATCTTACAGGATTCTAAACTAGTATCAGAAAATGTTTATTCTTGTAAGAATACTTTATTTGTGAAGATATCGATTTTTTCCTCAGATTTTCGTCAGAATATAATAACAATATTAAATAAGGTTTAAAATAAGTAAACAAAAAGTTGACTTATTATTTGACAAAATCTAAAAGGAGAGGATCAATACAGTTTGTATATAATTTAAGACACAAAGTTAAAAATTAATTTAAATCTTTGGAAAACAATGAATCTTTCCAATAAAAATATCTACTTTTTAAAATCTATTTTCCTACAGTTTATCACCCTCCTCTTCCAAATATATATATAAACTGTAGGAAAGATTCAAAACATATCTACAAATATTTTAATATAAATATAAAAATCAAAAGCATGGTGTATCCATGTATTTAATAGTAGCATAAAACCAATAATTAATAAAATATAAATAAATAAAATACCTTTATTATGAATTTCGCTTTTCGGTATTGATGTTTTTTCAACATTGGATCTTATATTTTTTATTTAAGCTTAGTTTTCAGAGAAACTAATACCCAGTTGACTGTTACTTTATTACTTTAATTAATTTATGTTTCTTTCTTTTGTTTATAGTTTGTTTTACTCATTTCCAAGGCAAAATTTGTTGACATGCACACTGTATATATATTAATGTATGCCTATACTCATATATTCTGATACGTGATAGAAATTAGTTAAGATTAAGTCTGTGATTAACTGGGATCGCAAACGAATAGGAAATAATAATATAACATGATTCCGGAAATAGTACAAGGTTTCAATCGGGTTACATAATTGTACCTATATTGTACGATTTAGTGGTGGTGAAAATTACTATCATTACGATTGTACAATAACTATAAGGACCTAGTTTATATCTCTCTGTAACTAATTTAAAAAAAAAATTAATGACTCATTCCAAACAAAACGTTCAGAATTGTTGAAAGTTAAAAGCACATTTATTAAACGTATTTAATGAGTACCGTTTTAGATTCTCAAAAACATACAATTGTATTTCAGTAGATTCCTATATCAGAGCTCGACAAAATTTAAATACACATTACTTTTATTCAATGCATAAAAAAATCGTTATATATGTCAAGTCACAATGTATATATCTAAGTAAGTTAAATGTAACATTTATTTACTCATGTCATGCCTAAGGGCATGGCAAATTACTGTTCTTTTACAGTATTGAAATGGTAGGATAAGAAAAAAATAAACAATTAAAATTTTTCTTCTCAAGACTTTTGTTTTTTCTAATCTTACGAGGAATTCACTATTACACCAATGTTGGTAAATTTCTTTTTGGTAAAGTTATGATTTCTCAATATATTCTTATGGCATTATTGTAATATATAACACCTCGGACTCTAGAAAATAGCAATACAGTCATGTTTTTTTGTTATTTTTGCTATACATTGAACTAAGACCTTCAGTTTTGACACTCACTGATATCTAGGACAACTTCTACAAATGTTAGAAATTCGAGGTATTTGATTTTGTAGTTAAAAGGCCAACGGAATTTTCCAAATCCGATAGAAATAAATAAATTATTTTATTTGTTATATAAATTAGGCCATTATTCACAAACATTTTATTTATTAGTTATTTTATTACTACGATTCGACCATTTTAAACTCATAATGAGTCCTCCATTAGATATTCATTATTAATGTCATATTAATTTTTTCAGTGAAAAATTAAATTGTCCTGACTGATAGTCCCTCCAGAAATGACGTAGAGGAAACTCTTAAATAGCAGGACAATTTAATTTTTCACTGAACAAATTAATATGACATTAATAATGACTATCTAATGGAGGACTCATTAAGACTTGAAAATGGCCCTAGTGATAGTCGAAACGTAGTAATAAAATAACTAATAAATAAAATGTTAGTGAATAACGGCCTAATCTATATAACAAACAAAACCTCAAGACACCAATTTTAGGAATAATGAACAGAAGAAACAATAAATTATTTATCCTGGAAAAAAAAAGAATTCTACGATTAACATATATTTACATAAATTAACTAAAGGAAATGGAGAAATAGTTGGTGTTTAAATAAGGTTAAAGATGATGTTTGTATTTGGACGTAGACAAGTTATTCCAGAACAAGGTAGTAGGCATGATAAAGAAATTTTTTAAAGTAAGAAGTTGAAGAATATATTGGTTAATGGGTTGATATCTCGTGTTTGAATAATTGTGAAACTTCTTATAAAATCAAAATTCGATACTTTAAATTAGTTAAAAAAAACTTAAACAGCTACCACCTATTTCTTAAAGCAAGCATAATAATTCTGAGCTCCAAAAGTAAAGGACATCATGTTTTTTAATTAATTAATTTAGTAATGAGGAAACAAATTTTAATAGCCCAAAGTTATGGAAAATTGGCTTGCATGAACAATTACGAAAACGTCATATCTTAAATAATTTCTATCACATATAAAAATATACGAGTATACACATACATTTTTTTTTTATTTATATGATATTTACAACTTACAGGAACATTAAGGTCATTATGGATGATTTTATTTGTAACAAAGTAAGGAGCATTGAGGATTTTACAAACGATTTTGGATGGTAAGCATTGGATGCGAGAGGAATTTGAAGGTTTAGTGGAGCCCCATAGCTCAATACACACACATTAAAATATTTAAAGTGTGCATGTCAACAAATTTACCTTGGAAATGCGTAAAACAAAAGAAAGAAACATAAATTAAGTAAAGTAACAGTTAACGGTATTATTGTTGCTGAAAACTAAGCTCAAAAATTGAAAAAACACCAAATAGCAACATCAATACCGAAAAGAAAAATGAAACATGGCTGAACAAGGAGTAAACAAATCAAGGATGTAAGGAGACTTTTTTGTCTTAAAGGAACACTCCAAGAAAATACTGACGCCTTGAACCTGGATAAAGTAACTTCAACTCGTCAAAGCCAATACTAATTGTGTTTAAACCTTTACTTTTCGGCATCTGATACATTTCTAGATCCATTTTGCCTATAGATAGACATGACGAAATGTCTAGGTCGTTCTCGAGAATAACGTTGGACCATGATAAAAAGAGGCTTTTGGTCCGAGAATCCGCTAGGCCAGAGGTGCATATATAACCGGACGCTGCGTGTCCTTGGCCGTCTCCCAGACCCCTCGCCAGTATACCAGATGCCACTGCTCAAGGCGGTAGGACTCCTCTCTGTCATTTACTTCGTGGCTGCTCTCCAGGAGGACAGTAACAGCACGGGTGTCATCGTGTTCCCGGACGAAGACGTCGGAGACCGCAACATCATCAAGGTACCCTTGAAACCTTGTCCGGATGGCCAGCAGAGAATTGGTGGAATATGCAGGCTGGTCTTCTCAAATCCTGGTCGATCAGGTTAGTAAAGTCATGGTCATAACAAAAATTTAAGAAAATAAATAAACATTCTATAAAGAAGACCATATGAAATTTTCGTGATTGTTCATGCAAGCAAATTTTCCATAACCTTGGGCTTTTAAAATCTGTTCCTTAATTACTAAATTAGTAAATAAAAAAAATGTACACGATGTCCTTTACTTTTGCTGCACAGAATGATTATGCTTGCTTTAAGAAATAAGTAGTAGCTGCTTAAGTTTTTTAACTGATTTAAAGTATTGAATTTCGATTTTGTAACAAGTTTTACAACTAGAAATGTTCAGTCAGGAATTCTGATTAGGAAATTCTGATTGGTTGATGGAAAGCTAAAGCTATTTGAAAATCTTCATATAAAAATATGCTAGAATCACTTCATAGGGAAGAAGTAGTTTGAAATATATAAAAATACAATATAAAATTATTTTATAATCAACAGATCCCTTTTTATAAAATTATTAACATCCGCCTGAATCCTTGTAACTAGCTTCATCTCATCGTAACCTACAACTATTTTATTTACTGAAATTCTTGGAATTGGAGCGTTCTCAATCTGAAGTTCTACAAACTTTGTCCATGTCTATTTAAAACTCGTACATACCCATTTGCTTTCCATTTGGGTCGTAAGATGATTTGATCACAAAATCGAGAATGTTTGTAGCTTACGTACGTCTTTTTGTTCATGCGTGAAGCGTTGTTTAAGTAAGTTTAACCGGCTTTTTCCTGGTATTTAATTTCGGAAATCTTGAGTGAGTATAATATACTTTAATAATAATAGTCTTACCCTTATTTTGTGAACATGTCAATTTTCAGTCCAGTGTCAACTCTAGGTGTAGTACAACGTCGGTATGAGGAATTCGGAGTTAGTTAGCCGAGGCTTAAATTGTATGTTTTATGTCAAGTGAAATAAAGTAAATGTATAAATATAGACATTTGTTGTGGCTGAGTGGAATTTTCCAAAAATTTCACCGACCGTATAGTTTTGTTAGGCGATGTTACAATGTATGTGAGGCGTTTGTAGAGTTTTAATGTCCTGTTAATTTTTTAAGTTTTCATTACAATCTTTTTGAAACTCATAATTTGTATATTTTTAAATATACACTTTTTTAAAATTAAAAATATTTATATTAAAATATAGCAAAAAAAAAATCAATAAAGTAGTCGATATTACTCAACTGCTTCTTGACTAAACTTATTACCTATACTTAACAATTTTATTTAAAAAACAAAGAATTTAGGCTAAAATTTCGAAGATTATTATTCTGAATTGGCAATTTCAATGCTAAAATTCTAATGTAAAATTAAACAAAAATAAATTAAATTTATATGCCACTAAACATTTCGATTGACTACAATATAACTTATTCTGTTTGGCATAATTAATTATTAATTCAACAACACGGCTCTTATCAACAAGACACAATAATGAAGCATAGAAAAATAAATAAATTTAAGCCTCTTGAGAATTTTACATTCAATAATTTTCTTTCAAATAATTCATACATTCGCCTCATAATTTTAAGTTCAATAAGACTTTGACAATAAAAATCTTATTACCAAGACACAAATTCAGAAATGAAAAAATGTTCAGTAATAAAAATTATTTATTATTAGTAAATAATGGATGTAATATTTACTGTGTAGTAATTTATTTTTGGCTAGCATTAAAGTCTCTCAAGCATTGTTTCGCAGAACATCAAAGTATTTATTTTACTCATAATAATTTTACTCATGCAATCAAAATTACTGTAATCATAATCTTTGATTATTATTACGTCCATCTGTTATTTTACTTAATGCTGTAAATCGATAATAGCTATTAAAAATCTGTTAAGAATCTTCAGGAATTTTCGGAAAATATATTTTGAGTGAGGGTAGTGTTAAAATCTTAATTCGATTTGTTCACACTTAATTGACATTAATAACTATTATTAAACGCTCCAAACTTGCAACTAATTACAAAAGACTCATATACATCACTATAATAACATCTATTTGGAGTCACGGAGTTCGGCTATGGAGCTCCACTAAACCGTCAAATTTCTCTCTTACAATCTAAAATCCTTCGTAAAATCCTCAATGCTCCTTACTTTGTCAGAAATAAAATAATCCATAAAGACCTTAATGTTCCATATGTTTCCGATTTGGCCCAATCCAGATACCTATCCTTCTATAATAAACTTAATAACCATTCGAATCCTCTCTTTTCTAATCTTGTTTCCTCTTCGATTCCTGATAACCCTCCGAGACGTCTGAAAAGAAGATGGCCTCGTGATCTCCTCATTTAGACATATTATTAAAATACTACCAATGGCTAGTTTCTCAACAAGCGTTTTCATGTTATTATATTCCTCTGTACACATTTACTTGATGTATTTATACTAATACAGTTGTCAATATCATAATAATTTTTTTTTATTACTTTTGATTATGTATGCAGGGACTTACACAATAGTGAAAATCTAAGGCAATCCAGATGATTTCACAAGTATGTTTCCTACGGCATAGTTTCAACTGTGATTAGATCCCTAATCAAAAAGGAAAAATCCCAGAAAATTGTAGGCAATTATTTGTCAATTGACATGATGTGTTATAATATTCTTAGAGAAACTACGGATGTTCTGTATCTAAGACGCAAATTAAATAAAAAACGAAGGTTGAAAAATAGTCAGGATGTTGTTTGTTGAGCATGCCGTCCTATCGATTCAAAACATGTGGCTCATAAAAAAAAAAAAAAAAAAAAAAAAAAAAATACATCATAAAATAAAGTATGTAAATAAGAGAAGATTAAATATGGAGAAAGATATGCATGGAAGGTAATATAAAAATAACAGTAAGACATACATAGCAGTAAACCAAGATTTTTTTTAAAAATTAGTATATAAATAGCGAAAGTAAATTAACTAATTGATTAGTACGAATAAGAAAATAAATAAACATGAATTATGTGTACTTTCCATCTTTTTTCTTCTCTTATTTACATACATCTATTTATATCTCTAGCATCAGATATAAGCTTTTTATTTTAGTGTTCATCCCTGATGATGACAGAGAAGCTTGGTTGGAAACGTCGGCAAACTTAAACAACATAAATAATTGCATATCATGGCTATTTTTTACTTTCACTTACTTATATATGAAATATATTGTAAGAGTAAGTATTGCGATCGTGAAAATTTTCGAATCTGAATTTTTAACAGAAATACATGTTTTGAGGTCTCCCGAGTCCAAATAACCAAGTCCTGCCAAATGCTCTGTGTATCTGTATGTGAACAATCTAGCTCAAAAACGAAAAGTCGTAAGAAACTGATATTACGTATTTAAGATAGGTATATGCCTCAGATGTTACAGCGAATTTTTCCTTAAAATCGGCTATCTGGAAGTGCCACATTATATCCAACGGTGAAGCATATTTTTATTCTTATAATTTAAACTGTCAACTAAATGTCCACTTTAAAAAAAAAAACATAGCTACACTGAGATAAATTTCAGATCTTTTTTAAGGGTTAGTTCTTTTTTTCTTTAACATCCGAGAAAAGGAGTGAAACGGAAGAAAAAAATATACTAAAATCACTTTATAGCGAAGAAGTAATTTAAAATATATAAAAATACAATATAAAATTATTTTATAATTAACATATAAATGATTATGATAACTAATCTGTTCATATACCGACTTTTTTAAATCAATCGTTGTTTTCGATTACGAAGTGTAAATACAAATTAATTGTTTAATACACATGTGGCCATAATCATAATCAACAATTACTTGATTACAATAAAAGTGATCTTGATTACGTGATTACAATGATCTCATTACTGATTGTTATCAGGTAATCAAGCAATTTTGAATCAAGTATAAAATTGGCATGGTCATGAATAGTCCGTGGTACAGACCCCTTTTTATCGAATTATTAACATCCGCCTGAAACTTCGTGAATAGTTTCAACTTATCGTAACCTACAACTATTATATTTACGAAAATTCTTGGAATTGGGGCGTTTTCAATCTGGAGGTCTGTAAACTTTGTCTATTTAATTAGGTACTAAAAACTCGTAAATACCTATTTGTTGCCAATTGGATCGTAAGATGATTTGATGACAACATTGATAAAAAAGGTAGCCTACAAAAATATTGGGCCGTTTGTCCTACATAACCTCGTTTTTTTAGTTGAGAATTTGGGGGTGTAGGTCATGCCATACAGCTCGATATTTTTTAAGGCCATATTTTTTTTTCCGATGCTCATATTATCTTACGATTCAGGTGGAAAGCAAATGTATATTTTCGAGTTTTTAATACCTAAATAGACAAAGTTTACTCCCATCAAGATTGAAAACTCCCCAATTCCGAGAATTCTCGTAAATAAAATGTTTGTAGGTTATGATGAGATGAAATTGTTTACTAAGTTTCAGACGGATGTTAATAATTTGATAAAAGGGGTCAGCACCACGGACTATACGATTAATGTCATTTTAGCAAAAAAAAAAAATACTTCTTTGAGGTATTTCAAGTATTTATTTAATAATTAAAAAATTTTTAAACAAGTAATCACACGTTTCCATTCACAAGCCATTTTCAGACAGTCAAAGAAAAAAAACATAAAAAATAATAGTTATAAACCATTATTTAATTTTTTTATATAGTTCACTATTATACCGTTTTTAGGGAAAAAAACATTATTTATGTAGCTTTTTTAAAACTTATTAATAGATAATTTAAATATTTCCAGAACAGTGTTTTTTTAAAAACAAAATGAGGAAGAAAGGAGGGCTAATGAAATTGTAGATATAGATATAATAAGAAAAAATAAATTATACAACTTTAATTAAATAATTAATGCCAGAGGGTAGTAAATTGTATATTGTAAAAAAATGTATGGTTCATGACTATTGTTTATTGTTTATTGGGCTGTTTGAAAATAGCATGTAGAGCCGAAACGTTATAATATGGAGAAAGTGGAATTTCTCGTTTAAAGGAATTTTTACTAATAAACTAAAGATTGTTGGATTAATGAGGTATTTTTTTGTAAAAAAAAATATTAATCATAAATAGATTAAATATAGTATATAAATAAATAATCTGTTATTCCTCACAACTCACTTTTTGTCATAGCTGCTACAAATATTTTTTAAGCCTTAGGCATATAAAAAGTTCAGTATAGAATGATGTTTTATTTTTTTCTGTTTAAGGAAGTGACAAGGAGACTAAATTCATTGCATTACGATTTCTGAAACAAACACAGGTTAACAGAGCTAAAAACAAATCAGTTTGCAAATCTCCTGCGGCATCACATGGTCATATCATAACGTTTACATCATGTACAATAATTCACCTATTAACTAATAACTGCCGCAATTAAATTAGAAACGCATCCGCAGTTTGCGGTTAAGGGAATCCCTAACGGCCTGCATTTTAGTAATTCACAATAAACGACTCTCATGAAGAAAATTGCACTTGAGTAGGGAAGTAATTAACACACACACACATATATATATATGTATATATATATATATATATATAGGACGTTTTTATTTATTAAAATTTACAATTTACAACAAGATTACAATGGATTGCATATATTTTTAGCGTAAATACATTTTTCTCGATACTCTTATGGTTTGTAATTTTTGTTTATACATGTATGTTGTTTTAAATAGTATGAGAATTAAAGAACGCTAGAAAGAAAAAAAAAACGGTGCAAATTATTTTACAATGGTTTATTATTTCCTAACAATTATACATCTAAAGTAACATTACCTTTCTTGTGACAAATTAAAAGAAATAAAAAGTTAGTTCCAATTATTTGCTTGAATATTTTTTTCATCATTAGTAATATGCTGAAAAAAAAAAAAAAATCATTACTTCAGTAACATATTCAGAAATCAAAATCCAAAACAAACGATTTGCAGTAGAACACAAAAAAAACATCTAGAGACCATATCTTTGATCCTAATTGTCCGGTTTAACGATTTTTTTTTAGAGAATTTCGTAAACTTTTAAAAACTATAGCAACAAAAAAGTGTATACTTTTTCAGTTATTCGGAATCTAATTTTACCATCCGTCGTAACTGTTTTTCCAGCATTTTTTGGTTGAATTGTATTATATAGATAAATTTGAAGGGCATCAAGAAGAAGGCTTTAGCCAAGTTTCATTGAAATCGGTACATTGGTTTAGGCGCTACAGTTTATAGCAACGCAGGTTTCTGGCCGCCATTTTGAAAGTAAAAGGGGATAGTAATGTCGATGATGTAGGATCATGCCTGGGTGACCTCTGATTTTAAATTCAAATTTGAAAAAAATCGGTCAACTAGTTTCGGAGAAAATGTGTGGACGGCTGACGAACAAAAAAATTTGTATTCGTTTTTCGAATTCTACGTATCCTGAAACGTAAAACCTCAAATTTTGAGAGGGGATTAAGTTTTTGAATTTTTCTGTCGATCACGATGGTTCGTTATTGAAAATAATAAACAAAAAACATCCAACAAATTAATAACATATTTTTTAAATTACACATAAACTGTACAACATATTTTTAAAATCTTGAACGAAATTTACATTCCATCATGAATAGCGATAGGGTTATAGTTTGGAGTTATAGTTATAGTTCATTGTTAAAATTATGAGGATGACAAATAGCCATTTATGTTGTTTATTACGTTTGCCGACGTTTTGATCATAAAACCTTCAATGTAACAGGTGCATTAGGAATAAATAAAACGTCAACATCCGCGAAATACAACCTGGTATTCCCACTCTTAAATTGTTAACTTGAAAGGGGACCCGTCATTTTTAATGTTCTCTTAATTATAGTAGTCAAAGTAATTTAAAAATGATAGCTCAGTCTAGAATAATATTGGGTATGCCTGTAAAACCATTTGATTAATTTTAAATAAATAAAATGTTTCAGAAAATTAAACGGAACTAATCCATTGAGCATTTCGACTGGCTGAGAAACTCTTCAACTAGCTGCTCAACACCTCGTGTATGGAATACGTCAACCTGTGTGGTAAAGTGTGGTTTGAAGGTGTATGACATATGTGAATACGAAAGATTCTCGTTCTAATTCCACCTATCAGACAGGCTGAATAATACAGTCTCAAGATACAATATAACTGAAACGCTTTGAGTGAGAGTATCGACAGTTTAGGTCGCAAGATGAGGTTCTACTCCGTCCTTCTGTTCCTGGTGGCAGGGATATTTGGGGACTTGGTTGATCAATTAGAAGGAGGTCCCGCAAAAGCCATCATAGATGTTCAAATTCGACCTAAATGTGGAGAAGGTCAACGGGAAGACCCGAAGGGGATATGTAGAGAAGAGTTTTTTACGTAACTGATAAGACTGTTGATATATATGTATATGAGAAATATATTTAAACCTTAAACCTAACTAAACATTATTATTATTATATTTTTTAATTTAATTAACCTTTGTTTTTATTAATATAAGTTAGGGAAGAGTGTATATGTTTGTAAATGAGATTTAATTGATTTTGGTTATTACACAATACAAAGTTTTTTAGATGTTGTAGTTTAACGTCGTGGATATCTCTGATGCCTAGTTGTAGATGAATCATGCTTCCACATTATCAGTTGAAAAATCCCCACATTATACAATTCTTAACTTGGACGCTGTGGAATGAGCTTGGTCGACGCCATCTCTGATATCACCAACATGATGGTCAAACGTTGTCTCGATTATTGTATTTTATCAATGTATCATATTTGTTGTATTTATTATTATCTTCTAACTATTAAATATATATCTAATTTATAATTAATATATATTAATATGTATATAATTATATTGTTTGATTGCTGTTGTCGTTTATGTATCGCCTATATTTCTTTGGAAAACTAGGAAGTGACAAAGTGTCGAGTGTGCTCAGATAGATTTTGCAGTAAACAAATTCTTTTTCGTTTTGTTGATTAGACCAGGTGGATGGGTGATAGTTAACGTGGGGCAGTTGCTCCCCTTTTAGCATAGGGAAAAAATTACATGAAAATAAATGTCTAAAAACTGACATACAGATAAAGTTTCATTGTTGGTATTTCAGCATTTTGAAAGAGATTATAAGCAAATTATGAAGAATGATCACCCTCTAGTTGAAAGATAATAATTTAAAAATGCCTCCCTTTTTAGGGGAAAATTTTATTTCCTGGTACTATGAATTTAAGTTCATGTCAGAATCAAAAATATCAAGAAATACACAATGTATATGTAAGCAATAATAAATTCTACATCTCAATTCACCTATTCATTCCCCTTCATAATTTTCTTCTTCCAGCACAATTACCACTTGTACTCAATGCCAAAGGAGATTGAGCGAAAGCGCTGTAGTCACACATACTCTTCTCCATAGTAGAAAATCTGGTTATTACAGATACTCCAATATTTACCAATAATAGGTTGCGGGTGACTGCCGTTTCAACATTAGGAGGATTTTAGGAATGGGTGGACTAGATAGGGTTTATACTAGAAGACTCGGAGAGGATGTTTAAAGTTCTGGAGAAAATGTTCAGGAATAATGTCTAGAAAAAATAGGATATTAAATAAAGATCACGATGTAGGTTTTTCAAGATGAACTTTAAAAGAAACTATTATATAAAACCTATATCTCCGAAAAATTAAGCTCTTGAACTAAAATTAAATTAAAAATATCTGCTAATGACATCGGAGGATTAGTTTCAAGTATTTATTTGAGAAGTGTTCATTTACATTTGAGAAGTGTATTCAACTTGTTACGGTCTTTAATTCGAAAAATTGTTTCCGCAACAAAGTTTGCCGGATGCTCAGTGGAGACGCCAGGGTTCGCAAAAAAAATAAAAAAATAAAAATAATCAAAGGTCAATTAAATATTACTAACTATCTAACAGGCGCCACGCTATTTAATTGGTTGAATTTGGGAAATATCGAAAACCATAAAAAAAATAAAATAAATAAATAAATTTAATTAAAAAAAAAAGATTAGGACGCGGAGTGAGCTACGAACTTGGAACCTTCGGGTTTTAAAACATATGTTAATTAACCTTCCTACTTGGTTAACCTATCGAACCTTCTTAATTGGTTAGTTATGACTTTCCCTAATACCTCAAATAGGGTTTTACAATGCCTTATTAAACCTTAAAAAAAAACAATATAATATATACATAAAACATGAAAACAAATGGAAGAAAAATAAGACAATAAAACTGGCTATTATTAATACTAATAATAATAATGATGAATTTACTTATTTCTATTTATTTAAATAACTGTTAAAAGAAATGAAAATTATGAACAAGAAATTAGATTTATAAGAAACAAAGAAAATACTATTAATTTTAATTATAAAAAAAAGGACATAAAATCATTATTGAACTAAACATTAACTTACGACTATACAATAAACCATTTACAAACATTTAAAAATAAAAATAGATGGAAAAAAAAAACTTATATATACATATTCACAAAATCTCAATGCCGAACTTTGTCCAATTGGCACATTGAATTATCTGAGGAATCGGGATCTTAATCCAGCTAGCGTCGTCAGTGTCTTCCCAATTTATCACCTCAAGTTATGAAAATGTTCATTGACCAACTTGTAAGATCAAGCGGCACTCGTCGCTGATAATCACAGGTCCATGAATAGTAAAGAAAATCCGGTGTACACCGTAAAACTAACGTATTTCACACAACCAAATCTTTAGCGTGCCTCAACACTCGCGAGGTCCGCCATCTCTCTCTCGACTCAACTGTCTTTTTTTTTCTTCCAATCAGCTGTTTCCTGTTCCACTGACTTAAAAATAATATCTACAATTAATACTTAAAACTAGACTTATTATAAACAATTGCTTATTATTAAAACTAGTACTAAATACTTAATTATATATTAAACCCTCTTCGACTTAATAAAAAAACATATTACTATTTATAAAAACTAAAAATTATTTTACGAACTAATTTTTTTTTTGTATTTTATTATTCGTTACAAACTTTTGTTTTGTTGAAATTGAATGTTGAATTTTTTGAAAAAAATAATTGAGGGCGTATTGAAATTTTAGCTTCTGTGTAATGTTTATTTAATATTTTTTACCGCAGATGTTAATTATTTTATAATTTGTAAATAAAATAAATATTTTACTGTGTCACCCACTGCACAAATCCTATGATTTCTTTAATGGAAAATAGACAAGAGTGCACATAACTATTAATATGATGAACCATCTTTAAGAGAGACCAGTGTTTAGGATTGAAGTTGGAGAAGAAGCCGTTATCTTTATGGGGAGTAATAACAAAATTTATCTCTTCTATAAATAAAGACCGCAAGGAAATGTAATAAGCACATTTTTTTTCGGCCATCATAATAAGATACCCACTTCATAATGATCCATAAATATTAGATTCCTGTTTATCAAGTACGGATTATTTGTTCAAAGTTCATTGAAAACGAGAAAATTCGTGCTTGCATACTAGAAATTATCGTAACATCGTACATCGTTTCTCTTGCCTCGAAATATTTAAACGTAATGGCGTTTGTAGGCTATGGGTGATGTAGATATAATCCCAGACTAATTCAATTAGCATTTCAATTTCACCACAATGATAAGATAAATAATAGAAAACAGATAGGAAAGCATAAGACGACAAGAGTCCAGCTTGAATTCAGATTAGCTGCGATGAGGTGGTGTTTTATCCTGCTCATCCTGACCACGATGTGTGGATACCTGCAAGCTCGCATTACAACTCATAAAGCTACTGTTGTTCCAGAGATATACGGTATCATGATAGATTTCCCTAACCGGAGGATTCTGTGTCCGACATATCAACACCAAGACACAAGAGGGAAATGTAGAGAAATATTTCCCAATATTTAATCGGGTAAAGTTTTATATAACAGTTATAACTATAAGAACATTTTTTTTAAAGATTACAATTCAATAGCTATGATGTTCTTTTCATAAATTTTAGTTTTCAAAATCATAGGATCCGGCACAATCATTATTGAAACTTGAAATGCACAATGGTCTTTTACACTCTGCATGGGCACAGAATTGTTACACAAATTACTTCACTAAGTAAAGTGATCGTTACTTAGTTGTTAAGTTGATAACATTGACATCCAGTGATCATATGCTTAAATATATTTATAACCATACACTAGCTGATTTAATTTTAGGAGGCTTTTGAGGACCGTTTTTAAGGTATACAACAAGAATAAGTATGTGGCTAAGAAGTTTAAATAAAATAATGGTAAATACAAATGAATTAGCATAGAAGAATTATCAGTTGGACAAAACAACACATATTTTTAATAATCGGGGAGCATGATAAGATATGGAAGAAGGTTCAGTATAGAACAGGCCGCTGTAGAATGAGGCACACGTGGGTGTTTCTGATTGTTATCGTAGTTTCCTCAGTGTGGACTGAAAGCCAAGCAAATAATTCGGAAACATCTCTAAGTTCAAAGAGCAAAGTTGCTCATCCGGTGAAGCATAGCAGCGCGGACCATTCGAAGAAACCTCATCTGGATACAAGTCACAAGTCGGACAAACATGGCCATTCTCAATGCCTGAAGTCCAAGCAAGAAGACAAGCCGATGAGCTTGACGAAGAAGAACGAACAGAAACACGACCAAAAGCATGGAGCTGAGATAATGCACACGACGATTAGTCCTGCACATAAATCCATAGTACATGATAGTAGGATGAAGCCCACGACTAAGAAACCCGAACATAAGAACATGGAGAGTGCGAAAGGAAGAATTACAACAACAACGAAGACGACTCCCACAACTCATAAACCTGCTGTTACTCCTATATCTGGAGTAATTTACTTTAGAATGATAGATGTTCCTATACGCATTCATTGTCCAATGGGTCAACTCCCAGACAGAAGAGGAAAATGTAGAGTAATGTTTTCTAATAAGTAATTATTCTCCAAATTTCACCAGAACTTTACCTATCATCCAAATCATAGTATTAGGTGCATTCTTTATCGACAAAATATACAAGGGTCTTATATAGAATTGTTATACAAGTTACTTTCAGTAATTACAGTAATCGTTATTAATAACATAATATCCAGTGACCACGTGTTTAAATATGTCTATAGCCACGCAATAGCGGACTCAGGATTTAAATTTTTTTTATTTTTTTTTATTTAGAGTGCTACCAGTGGGTAGTTTCTCAACAAGTCATTTCATGTTATTATTTTCTGTTATCAAATTTACTTAATGTATTTAATTTTTTAATACAGTTGTAAATATCATGAATAAATAAAAAAAAAATATTTTTGGGAGGTCTTCAGTCCGAAAGCATTTTTTTATATTTATAATAATTACTTTGGAACAAAAAGAAACTAAATACATTTATGAAATGGTGTTTATGTGATTCTTGAAGTACTATTAAATGTCATTATATGAACAATAATACTTATAGAGATTTTTTTTTTACAAGACATGCCAATATTTTAACATTTTTGGGGGTAGGGGAGGGCGGCCTCAGCCTGAAAGTCTCCCTCCTCCCTCCCCCCGTAGATCCGTCTGTGGAACCATGTCAGGGAAATGCAGTTGCATGTGCTACATGCCGGATCGTCTTAAAGGTATTATACCAGAGGAGGTATGTAATGAAGAAATGTAAAACATATTTATTGTTTGGAGGGAAGGATACCATGATGTTGCATTTTTTGAAAAAAATAGTTGAGGGTATATTGAAGATTGATTTTAGCTTTTGTGTAATATTTCTTTAATATTGTTTACTGTAGATGTTAATTATTTTATAATTTGTGAATAAATTAAATGTTTTAATCACTAATGCATATATTTTTTCTAATCATAATATCTTATATTATATTTGGTAACGACCAGTTAGTGAAAAGTAAATTCAATGCCTATTCAATAAAAAACTAAACCTGAATTTATCATTATCAATATATTTGATTATCTGATGAAAATATATTTTATTAAAATTATAAAAAAGACTGCCAGTTAAGTACACATTGGATTATCATTACTTCCACTACTTTCAGTGTTTAAAAAATATATATATGTAACCATTAATTTATAATAAACTGGATTCTTTAATTTGTTTGTATTTTCCTCACCCTCCATATTGTAATTGTACATATTGTACAATTACAATATGTATATACAAATATATAAATACATTTTCTTGAATAATAAACTCTATTATGTAAAGTAAATAATTTATTGACTTATAAATTATTCATTTGGCAAGAAGTTTATTTTTATTCTTAAAATATCATCTTTGTTCAAGATTAATGCTCTGATTTTATTTATTATTCAAATACTTTATTTAAATTAATGATAGATTAATTTATCAACTTTATTTAAATTTAATAATTTTACTGAATCAATTAGTGCCTCCAACCTAATAAAGTCATATATGGCACCGAGATATGCATGTTAATTAATACAAATTGTGAGTTAATAGAAGTTATGTTATTTTATCTTTTTATTTTAAAAAGTTTATTATAACTACGGAGTACTTCATTTTTTTTTCTTTTTACTGTACTAATGAAAGGTCTTAGTTTAAGTACTTTGTAAGGGATTACTGTTGCTTGGTAAACCGGTGATAAGAACAGATAATTTGAATAATTAATTATTTCAAAGAGACTGGGTGTGAAACCTATCTCGACCTCAGGATCGATCTAAAGACTATTCGAATAATATATGAACACTAAAATTAAAAGAAGGGTTAATTGGCAAGTGAGAATGAAACAATTAAAGCATTCAGTTCATGATATTGTGTCTCAAAAAATAACTATTTTCTTTTGCTGGCGAGGAACCATCGTAAACAATTTATACATAAATATACATAAAAACTGTTATTGTATTCATACACTTGAGCATCAACAAATAAATAGTACATACCTTCGTTAATAATAAGAAATCTTTCAAAAAAAATCAACTTGGAAACTCCATTTTCGCCAGAACATCAATTTATCTTGTTTCAGAAAACGACTCTTATCGGTATTTTACATATTTATTATTTAATTGAATAGTATCATCTTTAACGGTAAATGTATAACATTAGTATGTCATAAACATAATGTTAGGAAACTTTCATTTCCTAAACTAAACCGAATTACTCTACATTAAATACTTTACATGATATATCCAGCTTACCACAGCCTTTAATACAACAACACATTAATTATATAATCCTACTATGTTCTCCGGGAAGAATTCACAACCACGGGTAGTAGGGAATACAAGAAATTACTACTCGGTCAATATTTGAACAAATGCTTCGAACGTCATCGGAGTAAATATACATTAAAATTGTTACATCATTATTTGAAGAATTCACCAACAGCAAGTGTTGAAAATGTAGTTTTACGATTTTTAAATTTATGATACATTGCAACGATGACTATAATATTGTTACATCAGACAGGATCTCCCTCACTAATGTTTGCCTTTCGACTTATGTACTGCTTTACTCCGTTTAAATTTATAAATTCATCTCGTTTGTCAATTAGAAGACGTTTGAGTGTGTGCTAGATAAAATGACTATATATGAGCCTATGTAGTGTATACAGTACCATATATGGCAAACAGGAAAAGTGTTAGAATCAAACGAGGACTGGACATCAACAACGGGCTACTTTGTGATCTTTGTGCTTTAAAAAAAACCTACAAAACGAGATAAACGTAGTTATGTTACAGACCCGTTTTTATAACATTGTTAACATTCACCCAAAACTTCACGAATAGCTTCATCTCATTAAAACCAACAAATATTTTATCTACGAAAGTTCTTCGGATTGGAGCGTTTTCAATCTACAGATCGGCAAAATTTGTCTATTTAAATAGGAAATTAAAACTTACGAATCGCTGATTTCCTCTTGAATCGTAAGATAACAATAATAAAAAAATCGGAAAAAAGGGGCCTGTAATTTTTTTTTTTTTTTTTCGGTTTGCCTTTATAATCTGGTTATTCTTTCATTTTGGGGATGGAGGTCACGTAAAACGGCCGAATACTTTATTCGATTTTATGATCAAATTATCTTACGATTCAATTGGAAAGGAAATGTGTATCCATGAGTCTTTATTACCTAATTAAATAAACAAAGTTTGCCAATCTCCAGATTGGAAACGCCACAATTCCGAGAATTTTCGTTGATAAAATGTTTGTAGGTTACGATGAGATGAAATTATTTACGAGGTTTTAGGTGGATGTGAATATTTTGATAAAAAGAGGTCTTTACAGAGTATAATCATTAATAGTTGTCTGTAAAGGGGCCTGTAATTTTTTTTTTTTTTCGGTTTGCCTTTATAATCTGGTTACTCTTTCATTTTTGGGATGGAGGTCACGTAAAACGGCCGAATATTTTATTCGATTTTATGATCAAATTATCTTACGATTCTATTGGAAAGGAAATGTGTATAAATGAGTCTTTATTACCTAATTAAATAAACAAAATTTGCCAATCTAAAGATTGGAAACGCCACAATTCCGAGAATTTTCGTTGATAAAATGTTTGTAGGTTACGATGAGATGAAACTATTTACGAGGTTTTAGGTGGATGTGAATATTTTGATAAAAAGAGGTCTTTACAGAGTATAATCATTAATAGTTGTGCGAACAAGCTCCAAAGATTTCTTGTGCTCCAAAACTATCTGCCAGCCCAGGTGGTATGCTATAAAGAGCTAAGTACCACAATATTTTAAAGTGTATTGTGAACTCTAACCACCTTTTCTGATTAAACCACAGTTTATTGTTACAAATATTTAATACTAACATTCTATGATATTACCAATATTTATTACTTTATGGGATTAATAAAAATCAATTTATTAATTTAAAGTTTAAATTTCTAGATTTATTTGAATACTTTATTGAACTCACTAATCGTACTAAACGTGGTGATTCTGATGAAAATAATTCAATTTTTTGTTTTCTTTCAATTCAGGTAAGTTTAAGTTTCATTCATTTGGTTTGGTAAACGAAGAAAACTTCTATTTAAAGGTTTCTAAGCCCTGTAAGACAATGTGGGCAAAACTCGTTTTTGATGGGCCCCATCCCTGTAGAACAAATCCGATACCTAGGACTCCAGCTGGACAAACGTCTCACTTGGAATCCTCATACAAGACTGAAACGACAAGAAACTGCTCGACGTTTCCGCTTACTCCAACACTTACTGGACAAACGCTCTAAACTTTCAATGAATTACAAACGACTCATATACATGACTATAATAAGACCTATTTGGACTTATGGAGTTGAGCTGTGGGGCTCCACTAAACCATCAAATTCCTCTCGTATCCAATCTTTACAATCCAAAATCCTTCGTAGAATCCCCAATGCTCCTTCCTTTGTCACAAATAAAATAATCCATAAAGCCCTCAATGTTCCATATGTTTCCGATTTGGCCAAATCCACATACCTATCCTTCCATAATAAACTTCATAACCATCCGAATCCTCTTGTTTCTAACCTTGCTTCATATTCGATTCCTGATAACCCTCCGAGGCGTCTGAAAAGGAGATGGCCTCGTGATCTCCTCATGTAGACAAATTATTAGAGTGCTACCAATAGGTGGTTTCTCAACAAGCGTGTTTCATGTGATTATATTCCTATGTATACATTTACTTGATGTATTCATACTAATACAGTTGTAAATATCATAATAAAAGTTAAAAAAAAAATAAAAAAAATGGGCCCCATCAGATGCATGGGTCGATTCCGAAAGGAAAATGAGTTGAGACTAATTTTGTCTTTTTCTTAAGGTGGTCACGTTTTTTATTAAATAAGAAGGAATTGCTCAAATAATGTTCTAGGTAATTAAATTCCAAGAACACCATCGTAAAGCAGACTATTTTTTTTTTTTTTTTTTTTAACAGTGATTAAATTTACTAAGGTCAATGATAAAAGGAATTTTCAGAAGGTTTAATTCGGCCGCTGAGAGGAGATATACTACTCGTGTATGAGTACTGAAACTGCAGCAGTTTATCATTGACCTTAGTAAATTTAATAACTGTTTACTCAAAAAAATGTTGTCTGCTTTATGATGATGTACTTAGATTTTAATTACCTCGAACAATTTCTAAGCGATTCCTTCTTGTTCAATAAAAAATGACTACTATAAAAGAAACAAAAAAAAACAACAAAAAAACACAAACTTGGTCTTAACTCCTTTTCCTTTCGGAATAGGCCCATGCATCAAATGAACTTTTTTGTCGGACATTTTATCTAGAATCAAGAATATTAAGAACTGAGACACAATATAGATTTAGATAAGCTCTATACCAACTTTCATTTACTAAAACGAGGGTGAATTACCACCAGGTTTTTCATCTTTAACATAAGAATCATACGATATTTTAAAATGCCTAAAACGTTTAAACTGCTCTGACAAAATAAATTCGTAATATTATCAGATTGTTTAACCTCCTTGAAAGCAATAAACAGTTATAAATAGAGATAATATCTTATTGGATATAACTAAATTTCACAATACATTTCTAAAAAACGAAAAAAAAAATTGTATTTATATAGATTACAGCGCATGTAGAGATCCTAGATTCTAGACCTCGTCAGGATGTAAGTCACAATAAAAAAGTCGATATTCTTTTTGATATTCCAAAGTGTTTCATTCCATTAATTATTAGATCCTCCTTTCCAAGCTCAAAAGCCTGCCCATATCAAATGGTGTTCTGAAATGATTCTTCTCCTTCTTAAATAATCGCCCTCAGACAGTTGTAATTCCGAAGAAAACTCCATCTTCACCCCTTCAATTAACACGAGGTGTCCCTCAGGGTTCCTCATTCTCCGCGACCTTTTCTCTATTTATACTAGTGACCTTCCTGACGACATTCAACACTATCAACACGTTCAAATCGCTGCTTGTGCTGATGATATAGCAATATATTCAGCCAGCATGAGTGCGAAACACGTAATGGGCCGAGCACAAAATGCAGCTCAACTCAACTCAGGCAAACTCAAAGATATAAACATCCTCATTAATCCACAAAAAACCGACGCCATCACTTTCTCCTACAAGAAAACGCAAGAAAGACAACCTGAACTAAATGGGCAAATTATCAAAACAAAAACTCACCTTACATACCAAGTCATAAGAATCACATCTTTCATTCACAGCCCACATAAAACACAGAATACACTCTGTAAAATCTACATCAAATCGACTACGACACTAACTCTATTCACCAGGGCTATCACATAAACTACTCATTTACAAAGCCGTCCTCAGACCACCACTCCTGCACAGTGCACCTCTCCTATATTATCTCTTTCCCACAGCTCTGAAGAAACTACAATATCATACTATCCTCCTAATGAAGATATGTGACGATACTTCAGTATACGTAACATGACCTTAGTACACAAATAACTACAACTCGACACAATCCAAGAACACATTACAAGAAGACACGTTAAATTTTTCGGTAGCCTCTCTGCTTCCTCTAATGTATTATTTCGCTCCATCACCACTCTCGGTCAGATGACAAGGTCGTAAGGGCCCAATAATCCCAATCAGCATAACCACATAATTCCACTTTACGGATCTTCCCGTCCATTTCCACACCCCCACCCCAATCTCTCTCCTCCCCTCAAAATCTTATTATTATTGTTTTATTTTATCATTTTACTCAATTTTGCTTTGTTTTATTTATTACATTTATGTCATATTAATTATTTGTTTGAAATGAAATGAGCGGAGTTCCCCCTCAATTCCTAAATCATAAACATAATCTGTAATCAGGAAGAGTATATCAACCATTTTACGAAGCATCACGCATTCAAATATCGAATGGAAGAAAAAGGTTTAAGCAATCGACGTATCGTTTCATCATTTAAATGTCACGATTTATCTCTAATTTAATGCAATCTATTTCAGAGGGATCGGATAAAATATACTCCTGTTACCACCTATGTCCTGATGACTTCCAAATTTACCAATAAACCTTCTGAAATGCCTGAGGCTACCAGAAAACTACAAGAAGATATAAAGCAGAGATAAATGAGTTAAAGCTGAATGGAGACATCTCATGTCCATCCTTACTTTCCTCTTATTTACCTCAATAACCACCCAATCCATTTTTACCCAATAGTCAAAATTTTAGGATTAATGGGATTAACCTTTAACCAGAACCTCTCCTGGAATACCTATATCTCCCAGATTACTCGAAAATCCATAACTGTTTCTTAAACAACTCCTAAGATTCAGTGATTGTATTCCTACAAAAACCAGACAGCTCCTTTTAGTCTCCCTTATTTTACCCCCCTTCGACCGAGGCTACTTGGAGTATGGGGGGCTATCTGCCAGACTAGAAATTGTACTAACAATCAACAGTTCATTGGACATCATTTTGTATTCTTCTAAGCCAGATTAAAACTCACAAATGTAACTCTTTTATTATTCTTAGTGGACTATAGTCCCGGAATAAAATTATTTTTTCATTCATTCAAAATTTAGCAAAATAAGCTATATAACCTAGCGACACAGAGACTCCGGTTCCATAAACCTATTTTCATTTGACTTTCAAAGAAGATTGTAATAACGCCTGGCAAGAGCCATACTAATATTCTCTAAAAGCACAATCTCGAATATATCCAAACATTTCACGTAGGCCATGGATTTCAACAACCTAAAAAACTATAATCTAATAAAAATATATGTACATGTACATTAAGATCAAATCACGGATTATGCAGTAGCTATTTACACTGTATAGAAGTTTCAAATTTGGGGCCTAGGGTGAAAATTGCATGAATCGCGAAACATTATATCATATTGTTATGGAGTGTGAGGCTTACGAATCTTACATGAGAACGGTTTTCCAATCCCTTGAAAATACCTACATTACATATAAACCAATAGTGTCATTGAGCAGCGGAGAGCAGACAGGTGGCGTGGTAAAATATTTCAAAGCTATTGTAATTTTCTTAAATTTATTTATTTATAAATATGATAATAGCCACGTGAACAATGATTATATTGAGATATGAACACATTCACACCATATATACAGAAAACATAAAATTAACAAAAGTAAAATAATAACTAAATAATAATAAAAAAAAGTACAATAAAAATAAAATAACCTAAAGATAAGTAAATTAAAAAACTCAGTCATACCTATATACAATATATACAAACAGGCAGGGAACCCAATCCAGGCTTGTCCCACTAATAACAGAAGGAAAACAGGATTCTAAGAGATCTCTGCGCTAATCTCTCAACCACTTCACTGCAGCTAAAGCCAGTAGAGATTGAACGAGTTAAAGCTATTAAAAATAGATTTAGTGAAAAATAATCTAAAAAAAATCACCATAAATATCAAGCTGGCTGTGTCGGTTTAATCAATGCAATTATAAAAACAAAACCCGGCGTCCAGTCCGGCTCGCGAAACTTGGTTTGTTATGTTGATTTATTACATGACTTGTTTCTTTCAGAATTAAAGTGTCATTTATTGAACAAGCTTCATTACAAGTCTGGGCCCTAGAGGTAGGTCTGAATGCGGCCCACGGGAAGTAAGGAGGCCTCAACGTAGAAATTTGAACTGTTTTAAAGAAATCAAACTATTGAAAAGAAAGAATGCAGCTAAAACTCTATCAAACATAATTTCACATTGCACAATAATGGTTTTACCAAACGCATTATCAGTTGGAGAAAACAACATATTTTTTTAATTATCGGGGTGCATGATAAGATAGGGAAGGAGGTTCAGTATAGAACTGGCCGCTGTAGAATGAGGCTCACATGGGTGCTTATGATTGTTATTGTAGTTTCCGCAGTGTGGTCAGGAAGCCAAGCAAAGTCGAAATCATCACCTAGTTCGAAGTCTAAAGTTTCTCATAGCAGCACGGATCACTCGAAGAAACCTCATCAGGATACAAGTCACAAGTCGGACAAACATGACCATTCTCAAAGCCATAAGTCCAAGCATGAAGACAAGCCAAAAACTTCGGAGAAGAAGAACGAACAGAATCAAAACCAGAAGCATGGAGATAAGATAACGCACACGACGGTTAGACCTGCACATAAACCAAAAGGAGGACACACGACTAAGAAACCTGAACATAAGAATATGGGGAGGGAGCATAGAAGAAGAAAAACAACTACGACGGCGACTACAACAACCACAACAACAAGAATGCCAACAACAACTCCCGCCCTGCCTGTGGTGGTACACCGCAAGCAGCCAGGAGGCAGCAAAGTTACTAATAACGGCACATCTGGTGTTGGCTTCATCATCGACGCACCATTCATCTCTTGCCCAGAAGGCCAGCGGAGGGTGAACGGTGAATGCAAGACCGTCTTCAGCTGAGTGTGCACCTGGGAGACTGTATCTTGTGTACGGGGGCATTTTAAATTTCTTTATGGGGTATATAAAATTTTTATTTATCTTTTTAAGTTAATTAAAAACGATAAGTTGTTCATTAAGCACTGCTAGAAGTAACCGAAACATTTTCCCTCCGAAGATAAAGGACGCCATGTCCATTTTTTTATAAAATGATAACTCCGCTCGAAAAATACAAAAAGGGAAACGGTGTTCCTTTGCTTTGGAGTACAGATAAATTACAAAAAAAAAAAAAAAAAAAAAAAAATATATATATATATATATATATATATATATATATATATATATTCGATTACTATTTTTGACAGAAAATATGTCCATAATTCACGTTGCGTAATTTGGGTTTGAAATTACTTGGTTATGATCAATTGTATAGTCAAAATTTTACTTTTAATGAAACATATCAAACTGGTGTCTTTAAAAAGACCAATAAAACCACTTGTTGAACTTTTGTTCACTCCAAAATTACAAAATGTAAGTATAATTTCATCAGAAAAAGTTTTTAGGCTTTAAATCTACAAATAAACACTTTTTAAGATTTTTCAAAATATTTTTATATCTTGTATTTATTATTTAAAATCGAAAATGTCGGTAATTATTTAAATGTATTCTATTTTATGTATTTACATTCCTTTTTGACTTGAATACATGTAAATATTTTTTAGCTTAAATTTGAAAGTGCTTGAAATATATATTTATTATTGAGTATTACAACAGTCTGTCTCTTGGACATTAGTTATAGCGAGGTAGGATTACAAAATTTAGGATAAAAAAAAATTTGTTTGGTTTAATTTTTGTTATAAACATATTTTAGAAGATAAGAGAATTTTATTGCTGCATATATATATTTTATATAAATCTCACTTTTTTTTCTTTTCTTTTTTTATACCAGCATTGTAGAACAATAGTTTTGGAATGAAAAAGCAAAAAAAAAACTTTTTGAAAGAATTGTTAATTGTCCACTATCCTTTTTTAGTTTCACAAAAAAGGGGAAAAAATGCAATGTAATTGTTGTGCATATCCTCTTAAATGTTCATGTATGTCATGGCTGATATACTTTAATATACTAATGTTTATATATTTTAGTTATCTTATGTTTTAACTTATAATATGATGTGTTATAATGAAACATATGCAAATAATAGGTTATGTCCTTTATAGATTGATTACTCTTTGTATTATAAGAAAAAAAAATGCTGTAAATTTTCTATGCTGCTAATATTTAAAATTAGATGAAATGATTTATGTTAAATTAATTTATTTATTTGTCGAATATATTTTTAAAAAATATCATTGATACTATTATTTTTTAGTAAGTTATTGTCTCAGACAATCCCTTTAATTTTATTTCAGAAGATATGAATTAAATATGATATATACAGTAATATGAAAAAGTCCTCAAACAAACCAAAAAAGTTCTTTTATCATCTTAATATTACACTAATTTAACCTTGCCGACACATTGGATGTAATATAGATTTAAATTATTAGTTAATTAATTATTTAAATTATAACAATCTAAATATTAATAATAAAATACTTTATTATTGATTATTTAAATTAAATAATTAGCATTATTTTCAATCAACAAGAAATCAAAGGATCAATGTTGGCTTGTTTTGACTTTTTTCAATCTCAACGCTACTTTATTGTTTATATTTCACTTCTTTCTTATTCGCTTTAGTATTTACTCTTTATTGTTAACATAAAGGGCCTTTTTATAAATACTGGAAAGCTGAGTGCACCAGTGAAAATTGTCCTTATATTGAAATTCTTCGTTTTTTTCTGTGATTCAATTTAATGTTCCATATTTACAATATCTTTATGTTTTCTATTTAATGTTAACTTTATTTCAAAAAATGGCAAAATAACTGTAATTGTTATATTTTTTTTATTTGTATTATTAAAAATAAAATAATTTTTGATTGAGATACTGCTGAAAAATAAAGTTATACCCAATCAGCTTAAGCCGATGGTTTTGCATACAGTTTTCCATCTATTTACAAGAGGTCTCCAATTCCAGATGTCATTAAGAAGCATCTCTGTGTTTTACTGTTGGTTGCAAAAATTCCACTCCAGATTTTTTTTTTTTAATTCTCTGATGTAAATCCTCATTGATACAAAATTATAATTTTATATCTGTCAATCCTATGATGTTTTGCCATTATCTGAAATAAAAGTAGCATTAAGTAGAAAAAAAAATAAATTATCTTGGCTTGTTATTCGTTGAAAATAATGCTAATTTAAATATATAATACATGTAAAATGTCTGGATGGTTTAATAAGTTTTCAATTAAGAAAAGAAACTCACTTTTAAATTGAAACGTTCATGGTTTTTATAAAAATTTGGTTAGCTCAAAACTTTTTCACACCACTATATATATATATATATATATATATATATATATATATATATATATATATATATATATTATATATATATATATATATATATATATATATATATATTTAAATGAGCTAAATAAAGGAGAGGGATGTAATTTAAACCTAAGCTTAATTTTTTTTTTTTTTTTTGTTTATTTAATGAAATTTACAACTGTATACAAATACAAGTAAATATGCGCAAATATAAATAATGGCATGTACAGGCTAAGTTTAATTTAAACTTAAGCTTATGGAAAAACTATTCCATGTTTAAAATGCATCCTTTAAACATGGAAACTTTTAAAAGTGTTGAGGTTATTTTTTAACTTACTCCTAATGATAATCATTTTTAAAAAACTTGGATTTTTAATGAGTTATACTGCACATAGTTAAGACAATTGCTTTCATAACACTACAGCTGTTTTGAGGAGTTCCGAAGAATATATACATATTTATATTACTTTGTATCTCTAGGCATATATATATATTTAAATGAGCTAAGTACAGGAGAGGGATGTAATTTAAATCCATGCATAGATGAAAAAACTATTCCATGTTTAAAGGATGCATCTTTTAAAAGTGCTGAAGTTATTTTTATAACTAATCCAAATGATAATTATTTTTAAAAAGCTTGGATTTTCAATGAGTAATATTGCACATAGTTAAGACAACTGCTTTCATAACAATACAGCTGTTTTGAGGAGTTTCGAAGAAAAACAATTTTAATTAGACATAAATTTATCTTGTGTAGATAATGTTTTTATATTTTTTGGCTGCTAGATGATCGGATGAGGTTCTTGATTTGATAACCTAGAGGTCAAATCACATATCAAAGATTTTATAACATTTTCCTACAACGTGACATGTATTTGAAATAGTGCTGTGAATTTAAAATTTTTAAAAGTACCAGTTTATGTATAATATGTACTATATATATCCCATTTGAAAAATTGTATTCCAGGGAAGTTCAGTTCTGAGCCAAACATTGCATTTTAGTGCTTTATTATATTAAAAAAAATAATTTAATATATTGCAAATATGCAAAATAAAATTAAGCATGAAGGCGATAATCCTAATGTGAAAAGATATTTAAAAAAATTCTCGTAAAGTCAAGGAAATTACTGCGTTAAGTTATAGATAGAAAAATGTTTAACATTAAAATATGTGGAGGGGTTCTAAAATTAGTCTTAGAAAAAATACATTTTTTTTTATGGGTTAAATGCCTGTTTTTTTTAAATTAAAAATTTGTGAAACCTGCTATAAACCTATTTAATTTGACTATTTGTACTAATTTAAGGTATTTTTCAAGTATAAATCAATATGTTATATAGGATATGGATCGATTGTTAGGTTTTATGGCTTAAATTATTAGGTGAGATTCCGTGAGTGTTTTGAAACAATTTGAGCTAAAAAATCTGACATGTTATATAACTAAAGTGTTTAATCAATTCACTAAAAAGGTAAATATAGTTTTTTTTGCAAACAGCTGGTCCGATATTTATGTTTAATGTTTTAAATTTTCCAGTGAGATCCCATGAGTGTTGACAAATCATTGCATAAAATGTTCGTAATCCGTCCGTTAGAAGGTACGTAACGACATATTGAGCGAAAGACGAACGATTTCGTTAAATTGTTTAAATGACTTACGTGAGATCTCGTGAATTTGTTGGAAAAAATTGACCAGAAAGACTGAAAAAAAATATTTTATTATATTTAAAATATTCTAAAATTTGTGTTGGTTTCATATCAATGATATGAAAGGTCTTGATCATATATTTTGAGTATAAACTAGCAATATTTGAGAAACTAAAAGCAATAAATAGATATTTGAATTAAAAACAAATCCCGCCTATAGAAATCGGAAATTCCTGTCCATTCTAAGAGAATGTTCCTCCTCCTGTACTTAAACAGACAAATTATAAGGAAAATTGATACCTAAGAATATTTTAGCTTGGTGTGACAGTCGGGTGTCTTTCACTGCATATTACAGCTCCTGGCAAATATATTTCATTCCATGCATCGCGGCATGTCAACATTCGAAAGTCTTGAGATTTGAACGGAAGTTGATAACTACACCAAGTTTAAATAATCAATTTCCTTATTGATCTACCCAATCGTTTATATAAATATGGAAGTAAATTCCTTTATTGTGGAAAGAATTTTCCGATTCCTGTAGTTAGATTTTTAAAAATAAAAGCCAATCAACATTAAAGATTTTTTATAATTTATTAAAAATATTTTTGTAGATTTTATCCTTGGGTATCTTGTCCAGGAATTATTGGGATATGGGTGAAGCTTTTTTGATCCAAAAATGTATTGCAATTTTTTTTTTGTCCATTCATTGATATTTACAACTGAAGTATAAAAAAAAAAACATATCTACTGATTGTGAACTTAGGAATATAATATAAAGGAATATATAACATGAAATCACTTGTTAAGAAATTACCCACTGGTAGCACTCAAATAATAAATGGACACAAAAAGATCACGAGGCCACCTTCTTTTCAGACGCCTCGGAGGGTTATCAGGGATCGAGGAGGAAGCAAGGTTTGAAACGAGAGGGTTCGGATGGTTATGAAGTTTGTTATGGAAGGATAGGTATCTGGATTGGGCTAGATCGGAAACATTAAGATCATTATGGATGATTTTATTTGTGACAAAGTATGCAGCGTTGAGGATTTTACGTAGGATTTTTGATTTTTGCAGCAGTTATAAATCTAAATAATTTTACGTCAGAATTCAGAATTATTTTGGAAAATATCTGTTGAA